TAAAACGAGGTCCCGCTAAGTGAAGGAAGACAAGTTTGTATATGCCAGTGAATTGTAAGGGAGGTTGAATAGGAGAGAAGGTGAAATAAGCAAGATGAAACTTAAAAATCTAATTTTTTTCTATCACATCTATGATGCTTCAAATTTCTCATATACTCATGTGATTTACATAAAATCGTGTTTGTGTTTATTATGTGGTGTAGATTATACTGTGTACATGAAAAGGGGATCAAAAAGAGATAAAACATCTCTTATGCAGTTTTCTTAAAAAATAAACCTTCACAGAATGACTGCCCTTTTCCATTAATCTCTATTCCACTATAACTAAATCTGTGCAATTGAAATGAAAATGTTCTGGGGTCAGGAAGTACGAAGTACTGAGTAAGGACATGGGGCAGAGTGCTCACCTAACTGGGTCAACACTTACTGTCTTAATGCAGTTCTACTTACAACTGCCATTGATTGATAACTAGGCAAAGTTATACTTCACAAATATTGTGAAGAACTTGACTTATTCAAGGGCAGAATAAGTGAACGTTTATGATGTCATTTGAGGGCCTCAGAGGAGAACCCCTGCCGAAAACTCTGAATCTGCCAGTGTCTAAAATTCTTCCTTTAAAGAAATTCATTTCTCTCTGGTAAGCAGTGCCCTCTTTCTAAAACCATGCAGAAGTACCACATGGAATCCCAAGCACCTGGGTATGCATGGTTATCAGCTCATCTTCCTGCTTGATTGTATTAAACCCACTGGGTGCCTAAGTCCAGTAAGAGTATGACCTAATTAAGCTCTGCCTGTGGAAATCAGATAGAAGGATCTGATTTTCTATTCTCTGCTCCTACTTGCTAACACTGTGAGCTTGTTAATAATTATTTCAAAAAAACTGTTATCAATAGATGTGTCAGATTTAGATTTGTGCTTTCAGAAAATGTTTTTTGGGAACAAACTAAGGCATACGTTTGGCATTACAGATAGTTTAAATTGTATTTTTAAAAACTTGATTTTTGAGTGTGCTTTTGGTAATTTTGAGCTTTCTTTAAATGACTTGTGTACTTGTGAACTTTTGCTGATGATGTGACTCAAAAGGGGCTATATATTAACACTACACTTTCAATTTCTGTAAAATTGTTTTACTTAAAGTGGGGGTGCCACTATTGTATTAGTATTGTTTTAAGGTGGACATTGTAGTAAGTGGGGGGAAACAAATAAATATGAAATAAAGTTTAAATGACTTTTTGTAACTTTATATTCTAAAAATAATACTTCTGACAGAACATAACCGAGAACCCATTTTAACTCTAAAATTTAAGTTATTTCCAAGTCACAGAACCCCAACATATTTTTACTATTCTCCTCACTCTGATTAAAAATTACATCTTTACGCTCCTAAGCATGACATTTTAGAAATAACTTGATAAAAGTACCAAATTACGAAAGCCAAGAGAGCCTTTTAGCAGTTTGTAAAACTGGAGCTCACAGAACTTTTCATTCTCAGTAATCCCTAGGTGACTTAGGGATATGATATAAAATAATTCCCTAAATGATTTTAAAGGCATCAGCCTCCTTGCATCCATAGTTGGAGAATTGGGATTAAAATTTGTGTCTTCGTTTTGGTCTTTTTGGAGCGGTTGGTCTCTTTTTTTAACAGATTATCCTTGTCAGGGCTAACCTTCCAAGTAGGCTCCAATGGCCACAAATTCTTTCACACTGCCTATTACAGTGCAGAATTGTTCCTAAGGAAGATTTCAGTTCTTTAGAGAGAGTCCTAAATGTGGGCAGAGGTAGAAAGAGTCCTGAATGCAGGCAGAGGTAGGACATATGCAAAACTAAATTAGTAGTCTCAATTTTGCTCAGGGTCTGCCCTGACCGAAGACTTAGAATATGGACCATAATAGTACACTACAAAGCACGAAAACATGATCACAAAGTTAGTTAGATATAACCAAATCGTCCAACAGGCAAGCCTTTCTCATTGAAGTTGAAAGCACTACAAAACATTTAACACTGGCATACCTGCTGAAAATAGCAAATTTGGGGTTAGAGTATTTCCGCTGTTTGTACTATCTTAAGTCAGGGACCCATCAATCTTTTTGTCAGGAGTACCTTTTATTTCCATTAAGTCTTGAGATTACAGAACATGAGGACAGGAAAATTCCTGAACAGAGTAGGCTTGAAGGGGTCTTTAAAAAAAAAAAAATCTAGTTTGGTACAGTTCAGCAATATTCCAGAAAGTGTTCCTCACTTTTGTAGGTGAATATATTTTTATTCACTAAGAAGGCTGTGGCCTATTAGGCCAAGAGTACAACATGGGTGAACCCTTACAAAGGTCAGTGAGAGAAGAATGAAGCAGACATTCCAAGAAAAGCCTGTTGTCTGGATTCTGACTGGTTCCTCTTCTAGGTCCAGCAGCTCCGCATGTGGCCCATCTACATGACAGCCCTGGAGTTTCAGGAACTACCCCCTATCATTACAGCCCCCATTTTTGCTTGTTAGCTTGAGTATTTCGATGAATTGCAAAAAATGTTGAAAAAGACAGGTTACAAGGACAGATGCTTCCAGATTACTTCAGTTCCTAGGGAGTTATTCTACGAATACACAAGGAAATAAGAACAAACAGGAACCAGGACTCATAGAGATAACAACATTGTTAAAATACAACTCGGGTCTCATGGCCAAATAAAGTGCCACTGCAAATACAAGTATGCTTAGCTCCCAACTCCATTGCTCCAGTACTATGATGACTCAGTGACCCTGGGGAACTTCTCCATAGCAGGCCTCCTTTTCCCCCTTTATCCTCTCCACGTGGGTCTCCCTGCTTCTGTGCTACTCTGACCATGCCCCTATCTGTTCCATGCTCAAACTACCTGGGAGAGGCTCTTACTGGCTCAGTTAGTCAAATCCAATCTAGAAAGCAGAGCTACCCTGCCAGATCACCTCACAGGCTCTGGGCAGCTGTAGGGCCAGGGTGGCTGGGTGATATGGGACCTAGGCATAAGGAACCTTTTGGTCACCTGCTCAGAAGGAGCTGTGGGAAAAGCAGGCACTCACAGTGTCACATGCAATAGTGAGGTTGTATTTGTCCGTTTCTGTTGCTTATAACAGAATACCTGAAACTGGGTAATTTATAAAGAAATAAAATTTATTTCTTACAGTTTTGGAAGTGAGAAGCCCAGAGTCCAAGGAACATATCTTGTGAGGGCCTTTTCCTTGGTGGTGACTCTCTATAACCACGCAGGGTATCATATGGTGAGGAGGTGCTGAGCAAGAGTGAGTTAAGCTTCTCACTTGCTCTCCTCGTAAAGCCATCATAACAATGCCCATGACCACCCATTAAACCATCTATGGATTAATCCACTAACAAGGGTACAATCTTCACAATCTAATCACCTCTTAAAGGCCCCACCTTTCAATTACCATAATAGGATTTCCTATCCCTTAACACTGTTACAATGGAGATTTGAGTTTCCAATAGATGAACTTTTGGGGGACGCATTTAATTCATAGCAGAGGTGTAGCATATTATCACCCATGCTGTGAACTCACTCAGGAATTAAATGAGAGCCCAATAACACATTGCTGAAAACAGCCGTACACCTATTTTTGGATTCAGGAAAAAATATTAAGCAATGTTTAAAAGAGCCTAATGAAACTCATGTTATCCATATTACAAAAATGCATGCAAGTTCACTTCTCTAAGTTCCTACCAGAACAAGAACTTCATGAAAAATAAATGTAATTGAAAAAACAAATCTAAACTACTATTTAAAAACTGTTCTTACGGTTGAAACCATAGATCCACACAGCTGGTGTGTGGGGAGCCAGGATTTTCTAGAACTGGTACTCAATCACTATGTTTAGAAGTAAAGGTCACTGAAATAGTAGAAATAATTTCTTCTGGGAAGCTTTTACCCATCCTCAAGTCTGGGTTATATTTATGTTTACATATAAAGGGTTCACTGTAATTTTTAAATGAATTCATAAATACTTTAAATACGGCTGTTTTAATTTTACTGGAGCAAATATTGATCAAAATAATTTCCATAAACAAAAACTCTTTAGGGTTTTCAATAATTTTTTAGTGTAAAGAGATCCGGAGACCAAAAATTTGCCAACCATCCTAAGTCTGTCTCCCCTGAGCTGTGCGTGTCTCATTGACTGCTGGGTTGCCGGAGCCTAGCAGAGTGCCCGGCACTTAGCAGGAGCTCAATAAATATACGCCCAATTACAAAAGATGGACCTCTTCATTTTCAGCTATGTGTGTAATTTCGTGCGGGGTTGGGGGCGGGAGTTCTGTTTAGAGCAAAAGCACGCTGTGTCCTTCTAAGAGAAATACAAAGAAACGGACTTAATCGGCCAGTAAAGGGGGTGTTTACAATGGGATGTTTACATTTATGTTTAAGTTTCAAGTTTGGGGGCTTGAACGCCTCTAAATCCCGGAGTACAAGCAGGCAATTGCTGCCTCTCACCACAGAGACGAACCCAAGCCTTAGAAAGTTGAGACCAATAAAGGAGGGGGCTGAGACTAGGAAAAGAGGGTTGACCCTTCCAGTCATAGTTCGCTCATTCATTCATTCACTCACTTCGCACTGGACACCAGACCCCGTACCAGGCGCTTAGGGTACCAAGACGAACAACAGCCCGCGCCTATCGCATGGAAATCATAAAGAAATAAAAGCTACGGCTCGGGGAGGGGCCCTGGGTGAAGGAGGCCCGTCGTTTGCACGTAGCAAGAGAAACCTTCGCCGCTCGCCCCACCCACTACCCCAAGATGGCGCCGGCCGCGAGAAAATGTTCCCGCGCCTGTCTTCGGGCTGCCGCCTGTGCCGGCCTGGCCCAACACGCGGGGCCCCGGGGAGCCCTGGGTCCCTGACGTGCTGCGGCGACCCCGCGGCCCTCGCCCAGTCCGAAGGCGGGCTCCGTGATCTCGACGCACCGCAAGCCCGCGTCGGCGCCTTTTGACGCCATTGTGGGCGTGTCGGCGCGACCCGCGACGTCGCGGCGCGCCGACAATGGCGACTGCGCCCGCCTGAGCCGGGCTTCGTTGACGACTAATTTCGTGACGTTGTCGCGGCAGCCGCCGTCGTCCCAGACCCGGTGGACGGCAGTGGCGGCGCGCGTGTACTATAGCTTACTTTATGGTTTAGAACTGTCTCCAGTGAAAATAATATTAAAGAAATAAAACATAACCTCATAGAAAAACTATTTAAATATAGTTTTTGGGGACTTCCCGTGGACTGCTGGGGCGTCACGGGGAGGCGAGCCGGGGGGCGGCGGGGTACGAGTAGACCGTGGCCGACGTCCCTTTCTCCGCTCCCTCCAGCGTCACCTCGGCCTCTTTGCGCTCCTGAAGCGTGCTCCTGGGCTAGGGTGCAAACATGAACACCAGCCACTTGGATGGGGATGAGTTTGATGAGCAGTTGCGAATGCAAGAATTGTACGGAGACACCAAGAACGGCGACATCCAGAACGATCCCGGTGGAGAAACCGATTCTTTCGGGCAGCAGTCGACTGACACCCCCTACGAGTGGGACCTGGACAAGAAGGCTTGGTTCCCCAAGGTAAGATAGTGACATGGGGGCCACTGTAGAGCGGGCCGCCTGGCCAGCCTCGCGAGGCACTCCTTTTACGTTTGCTTGGCTGAGCTCCTTGGTCCTAAACCCCGTGTATAGTGACGCTTCTTTTTGTTGTGTTTATTGCAGAAGTAATGTGTAAAGGAACATAAATCGTTAGCGTGGTGCCTTAAATGTAATTCTTAAGTCTTTTCTGTGCCTTATTAATTTTGTCCGTGAAGGTCACAGTTGGTTATTACATTGATGAGTGTTTTTTATTGCAAAGAGGAAAAACGCCAAGAGCAAATTTCGTAGCTATTCATCTCAGGTAGCCAACCTCACTTATTCTAGGAATTCAGATGTTTATCTCATATACTATGCAAAATGAAGCTTCTTGATTAAGAAAAAAGTAGCTGTTTATGTATTTTTACTGATTGAACTTTGCACCTTGCTTTACTTTCCTACTAAATTTGTCTCGTTATATATGTTTGAACCATATAACCACAGGAAAATGACTAGAGATGCACAGAATATGGATGTAAAAGATGTGTGTATATTCGTTTGGTGTACTGGAAATCTAAGTATTTTTATTTTTCATCTTGGAAGTAAAATAACTAGTGTTAAATTTGGTTCTATAAACTTTGCAGTGAAAGTACTCTGTTAATTTAAGTCTCATATGGATGGAGAAAAGGATACTAATAGCATATCGATTGACTTGCAAACCAGTAATACAGAACATATTTCCATTATGCGACAGGACTGTTGTGTTAGAAATTCTTTGTTTCAACTTTTCTTTCCCATTTTGTATTTGTGTATATATTCCAATCCCTCCATATTGTTAAAATTTACTACTTCAGTTATGTACTGGTAGTGCCAGCTCGAGTGCAGATTTAGTTTTTTCAGCCTTCTGAGTACTTTTAGTAAGTCTGATAATGGATTAATTTATAACTATATTTTTATGTTATTGACGCCCATACCTCTTCAAACTTTGAGTTTTAAATTTTTCCCATCTTATGTGTGTCTAATATTGATTGGTATGCCGATCAAACTACATTTCTTTCATTGTGCTTTTCCCCCAAAAGCCAGGAAGATAGATACGAGCTGGATTTGTACATAATTCGTTGACACTAAATGATAATGTGATTGAATTAGTGATAGAGTTTAAAATGATCATTTAGTTTTACAGTTGTTAGCTCCATTCTTTATGTACCCAATCAAAGTTTCATTGTGTGCTCTCTGCATACAGATATTTAAGTACTTAGCATATATATATCTATATATACACCTATATATAGATATATATATAGATATTTGTGCATATATGCGGTAAAAGTGGATTCTGTGGTTAGATTATTAGTTGACTGTTAGTTTTTATTCTGTTTTATTGTCATCTGGTACTTTCTTTGTTATATGTATGGGTATTTGTAGCCTTAGTCAAGTAGACTGTAGAGAGGTAGTAATTTATAAAATTTGCCAACATCACTTAAAATGCTTTAATAGTATCTCAGACTTTGGTGTTGATAATCTAAGTACTTGCGTCTTTTTTTTTTTTTTTATCATTTTAGGCACAGTTTTCTATATAAGGTGACTTGTTGCATTTACACTTTAATTACTACAACTGTTATCTGCAGAAACACTGCTTTGTTAGGTTGTATAGATGAATATGTAATATAACAATTTAAACTTTTTATGGATGGAAATAATTTTGAATTCCTGTAAGTGTGTGTGCTGAATTTCTTGTTTAGATCACTGAAGATTTCATTGCTACATACCAGGCCAATTATGGCTTTTCTAATGATGGTCCATCTAATTCTACTGCAAACGTACAGCACATCAATACTAGGACTGCAGAGGAACCTCCGCAAAGAAAAACCCCTGAACCCTCTGATCCCAGAAAGAGGGGAGAAAAAAGAAAGACTGAGTCAGGCAAGTGGTTGTAGCTTGCAAAACATGAGTGTAAAAATTAAAAGTGTGAGTTGTGTGTACATATAGTTACTTTTTGGAGAATTATAATAACTTTGAAGGAATAATAAGATGAGTTTTTTCTTCAAGATAGTGTCAGAGTCCTAAAGAATCAAGATAAACTGGCCATCTTTTTTTTTTCAGACAGGGCTCTGAAACTAATTATCTGTCAGAAGATTCAAATACAATTGACCCTTGAACAATTCAGGGATTGGGGCACTGACACCATCCCCACTCACACCCCTCCACTGCCAGGACAGTGTAAAACTCTCATATAACTTTTTACTCCCCCAACACTTTACTAATAGCTTACTGTTGACTAGCAGCCTTACTGATAACATAAACAGTCGATTAACGCTTATTTTGTATGTTAAATGTTTTGTGTACTGTATTCTTAAAGTAAGCTAGAAAAAAAATTGATTAAGAAAATCATAAAGAAGAGGAAAAACATTTATAGTATTTATTGAAAAAAATCTGCACGTAAGTGAACCTACATAGTTCAAACCCATGTTGTTCAAGGATCAGCTGTACTTTGAAAGCTGGGTAGTGACTTCAGTTAGTCTGTTTTGGTCTTCTAAGGATAAGAGAAAGTTCCTGGAGTTTCAAGAAACTGCCACATTGTCAAGATTTTATAATGTGAGATTTATCTTTTCTTGCAAGTGTTTTATTTTATTTCATTTTGAATTTTAGGTTGGTTTCATGTGGAAGAAGACAGAAATACAAATGTATATGTGTCTGGTATGTATACCATTTTAAACAAATTTAAGGTAGGAAGTATTTGATTTTGAGATTTTTCATGAAATGATTTTTAGTCTTCAGTTTCCCTGAAGTCCATTTTTTATCATTATGTCTTTTTTCGTTCAGCTGTTTACATTAGTGAGGGATGTGTTTATTATGGAACTGAGAATAAGTGCATGTAACTTTGCATGCCATCCTTTTTGCCTACTGTTAGGTAACTTACGACAGTTTGCCCCTTCAGATTCGGTGAGGCCTAAGCAACTCATAATTCGAATGTATATTTGAGTACAAAGAACTGAAATTTCCTCAGTTCTATAGAAGTGAGAGTCTTACATACATTAAGAAAATCAACATTGTACTCACCTAAGTTGTAGATTTCTAATTGGTAGAATGCTAACTAACTCTCATCTTTATTATAGTTGCCTTTATAAATGTTTTAAATTTTTTTTCTATTACTACAGGTTTGCCTCCAGACATTACAGTGGATGAATTTATCCAACTTATGTCCAAGTTTGGCATTATCATGAGAGATCCTCAGACAGAAGAATTTAAGGTCAAACTTTACAAAGATAATCAAGGAAATCTTAAAGGAGATGGGCTTTGCTGTTATTTGAAGGTTAGTTATATAGTCAAATATGTTCTTGTATCTCTATTTTTAACTTGGGAATCAGGGCTATACTTTTTCATAAATGATAATCAAGACAAAGAACTATTTAAAAGAGCATAGAAAGAAAACTGGAATTTTAGATGGTACCTGTGTGTTTCACATTGGTAACACATTGGTAAAGTTATTCACTTGTTTTAAGAAAATATGTTATCGGGTCAAAGTATTATATATAAGTATGTGACTGAGGTGCTTCTTTTGTCTTAAGAATTTCTCACTGTAAAGATTTCTTCATTGATATATATATATAATCAATTGAGAACACATTTTAAAAATCCCAGAAGAAAAAAAAAAAAAACAGTGACTTTTTATTTGCCCATTGGAATGAATTAGAACAGGTTTTGGCAAACTCTGGCCCACCAGCTATTTTTGTAAATAAAGTTTTATTTGAACATAGCTACACTTATTCATTTATGCATTTGTCTTTGGCTGTTTTTGTTTCATTGGCAGAGTCGAGTGGTTGCAGCACAGGTCTTGTGGCCCACAAAGCCTAAAATATTTACTAACAAGACCTTTGTAAAAGAGCTTTTCTGACCCCTCAAATAGACCATAAAGGAGATGATAGCTTATGCTTACTGCTTTAAAATAGTTTTTTGAATGGGAGAGAAGAGGGAGTGATATTAACAGAAATTTGCAGAACTTCATGTAGTCATGGTACCATAAATTGCACAGGGAAAGCTCAATGCCAAAGTTAGCCATCATTTCTGGAACACCTGCCACCTTAGGAGCATGTGTTAATGTGCTATTGCAGAATACAAAAATAATGGGCATGATGATGATGTACATTTGTCATAGAGCCTGAAAATAATTACAAAGTAAAATAGAAATGATAAAACAATTGTACAAACACCACAGGTATGTTGTGAATATATAGTGTTTCAGTGGTATCTGAAGGCGATAGGATTAAGCTGACAGCTTTTGGGAAAATAGGTTTTGATCTGGAACATGATGGGTGTGGGACATGAGTGTGACCGTTTAGGAAGGTAGTTACATAATGTTCAAATGTAAGGAGATTTGAGAGTTTTATAAGTTCTTTAAAGATGATTAAAAACCTGTAAATAGACTCTTAGGGGTTAGATTGGCTTTAAAATTTTGTTTTTTAAATGGAATTTTGAGAAGCTTCATATGTGTAATTTAGGACCCATAAAAGTACAAGATTGTCAAACCAGTACTTTGAGTTCCAGAAAAATAGAGTTAATTGTTCTAGGATCCATATCAGATGTGAGCAGCTGAGTTCAGTTGTCCTTTTGTGTTTTCCTCAGATCCTCAGATCTTTGACTCCATTTGTATAGGGCTGATAACTGCATTCTTAGTGTAGGACCCAGAATCCATAAGTGTGTTTAATGTACAAACCATCAAATAATTATCTTCTACTTCTCAGTGTATTACAGACCTGCATTTTAATTGGTGAACCGAAAAATTAAAGGCTGCCTGTGCTCTTCCTAATTCCCTGAGTCACCTAGCCTTTTAAGTTAAGAGTATTATAGGTTTTAAAACTGGAATGCACTTTAGAAATCATGCAAGTCCACTTGCCTCATTCTGCAAATGAGAAATTGGGGCTCTAAGAGGCAAAATTACCCAATAATATAATTTACTGAGCACCTACCATGTATATGCCAGTCCATTTCTTTTCTATGCATTATTTCATTTAAGTTTATCAAGAAACCTGTAATGAAGGTACTACTCTTTCCACTTTACAGATGAAGAAATTGGGGCTCAGGGAACTCGAGTAACTTGCATAAGATCACACAGCTGAATAGGGACAGCTGCAACTTAAACGCAGATTTACTGAATTGCATTCTAGCGTTCTTTATCCCCAAGTAGGCGATTATATTTAAATTTTTATTGTGTGTATAGTAATTGTTCATCTTTTTTTTTTGGAAGTCTAATTTTTTTTTTTTTTCTATTTAAATTTATTTTATTTTATTTTATTTTTTTGGTGTTTAAAATAAAGCATTTTATTTATTTATTTATTTATTTATTTTACTTTCTTTGGCTTTTTTTGTGTATTTTAAATTCTCAATATACATTGTAGTTGATATTTGTGCCTTTTTATCCATTCCTCTTTCCCCCTCCCTCTCTCCCCCCAGCCACTACATCATATCTGTTCACTTGTCTTAATAAGTTCAAGGAATTGTTGTGATTGTTGTGTCTCCCCCCCCCATTTGTTTGTATATTTATTTATTTATATATTTTTAGCTCCCACAAATGAGTGAGAACATGTGGTATTTCTTTCTGCACCTGACTTGTTTCACTTAATATAATTTTCTCTAAGTCTATCCATGTTATTGCAAATGGTAGTATTTCATTCTTTTTCATAGCAGAGTAGTATTCCATTGTGTAGATATACCAAGGTTTCCTTATCCACTCATCTGATGATGGACATTTTGCTGGTTCCAGTTCTTGGCTGTTGTAAATAGTGCTGCAATAAACATGGGAGTACAAGTATCCCTTCAACATGATGATTTCCATTCCTCTGGATATATTCCCAGCAGTGGGATAGCTGGGTCATATGGTAGATCTATCTGTAATTGTTAGAGGAACCTCCATACCATTTTCCATAAAGGCTGCACCATTTTGAAGTCCCACCAACAGCGTATGAGTTCCTTTTTCTCCGCAACTTCGCCAGCATTTATCATTCTCAGTTTTTTGGATATTAGCCATCCTAACTCAAGTGAGATGGTATCTCAAAGTGGTTTTGATATGCATTTCCCGAATGCTGAGTGAGGTTGAGCATTTTTTCATGTGTCTGTTGACCATTCACATATCTTCCTTTGGGAAATGCCTATTCAGTTTCTTTGCCTATTTTTTAATTGGGTTATTGGTTTTTTTGCTGTAAAGTTGTTTGAGTTCCTTGTATATTCTGGGTATTAATCCTTTGTCAGATGTGTATTTTGCAAATATTTTCTCCCACTCTGTTGGTTGTCTTTTCACTTTGTTGATTGTTTCTTTTGCTGTGCAGAAGCTTTTTAGTTTGATATAATCCCATTTGTTTCTTTTTCCTTTGGTTGCCTGTGCTTTTGGGGTCATATTCATGAAGTCTGTACCCAGTCCTACTTCCTGGAATATTTCCCCTGTTTTTTCTTTAAGGAGTTTTGTTGTTTCTGGATGTATATTCAATTCTTTAATCCATTTTGAGCTGATTTTGGTATATGGTGAGAGGTACTAGTTCCATTCTCCTGCATATGAATATCCAGTTTTCCCAGCACCATTCGTGGAAGAGGCAGTCTCTTCTGCAGTGTGTAGACTTGGTGCCTTTGTCAAAGATCAGATGGCTGTAGGTGTATGGGCTGATTTCTGGATTTTCTATTCTATTCCATTGATCTGTGTGTCTGTTTTTATGCTAGTACCATGCTGTTTTGTTTATTATAGCTTTGTAGTATAGGTTAAAGTCAGGTAGTGTTATGCCTCCAAGTTTATTTTTTCTGCTTAGGATTGCTTTGGTTATGTGTGGTCTTTTTTTTATCTCATATAAATGTCTGGTTAGTTTTTTTCCACTTCTGAGAAGATGTCATTGGAATTTTGATGGGGATTGCATTGAATCTGTAGATCACTTTGGGTAATATGAACATTTTCACACTGTTAATTCTTCCAATCCAAGACCATGGGATATCTTTCCATCTTCTTGTGTCCTCTTCTGTTTCTCTCAGCAGAGGTTTGTAGTTCTCTTCATAGAGATTTTTCACAACCTTTTAAAACTTTATTCCTAAGTATTTTATTTTTTTGGTGGCTATTGTAAATGGGCTAGCTTTCTTGATTTCTTTTTCTGCATGTTCACTGTTGGAGAATAGAAATGCTACTGATTTTTGTGTGTTGATTTTTTAAATCCTGCAACTTTGGTGAAATCATTTGTCAACTCCAAGAGTTCTTTTGTAGAGGCTTCAGGCTGTTCAATATACAGGATCATATCATCCGCAGACAGGGATAGTTTGACTTCATCTTTTCCAGTGTGGATGCCATTTATTTCCTTCTCTTCTCTGATTGCTCTGGCTAATACTTCCAACACTATGTTGAATAGGAGTGGTGAGAGTGGGCATCCTTGTCTAGTTCCTGTTAGTTTCAATAAATTTTTCGATTTCCTGTTTAATTTCTTCTTGGACCTATATGTCATTAAGTAGAATGTTGTTTAATTTCCATGTGTTTGTAGCTTCCAGAGTTTCATTTGTTATTGATATCTAATTTTAATCTTTTGTGATCTGAAAAAATACATGGAATAATTCCAGTTATTTTAAATTTGTTGAGACTTGCTTTATGACCTAAAATGTGATCTATCCTGGAGAATGTTCCATGTGCTGAAGAGGAGAATGAATATTCTGAGGTTGTTGGATGGAATATTCTGTAGATATCTGCCAAGTCCAGTTTATTTAAAGTGTTGTTTATATCTTGTGTTTCTCTATTGATTTTTTTGCCTAGATGATCTGTTTAGTGTTGAGAGTGTGTTGTTCAGGTCCCCTGCTATCATGGTGTTAGTGTATGTCTAATTCTTTAGATCTAATAGTGTTTGCTTTATAAACTTGGTAGCTCCGACGTTGGGTGTGTATATATTTATGGTTGTTATGCCCTCTTGATGGATAGATCCTTTTATCATTATATAGTGGCCTTTATCTCTTTTTATGGTTTTTGGTTTAAAGTCTATTTTATCTGATAGAAGAATAGCTACTCTAGCTCGTTTCTTATTTCTATTTGCATGGTATATCTTTTTCCATCCTTTCACTCTTAGTCTATTGTGTCTTTACAGGTGGGGTAAGTCTCCTGAAAACACCATATTGTTGGGTCCGTCTTTTTAATCCAGTCAGTCAGTCTGTGTTTTTTGAGTGGGGAACTTAATCCTTTTACATTTAGAGTTGTTATTGAAAGGTGTTGATTTACTCCTAGCATTTTGTTGATTTTTGTCTTTTGTTCCTTTCTGATTTTCTGTTTGTCTTCTGTGTTTGTTGGCTTCTTGGGGTGGTAGATAAACTACTTTTTGTCTTTATTGTTAGCATTTTTATTTTACTGGTAGGTTTTGTTTTTTCTTGAGTATCCATGGCAGTGATGGTTGTTTTTCAGGTGTCAAAGCCAGTACTCCCTTGAGAATTTCTAGTAAGGCTGGTCGTGTGGTAGTGAACTCTCCCAGTTTTCGTTTGTCTGAAAAATACACTATTTGTCCTTCATTTCAGAAGCATAGCCTTGCTGGGTAAAGTATCCTTGGCTGGCAATTTTTGTCCTTTAGTATTTTGAATATATCATCCCATGTTTTTCGGGCTTTTAGGGTTTCTGATAATAAGTCTGATGTTAGTCTGATTGGGGCTCCAATCAGACTTGCTGCTTCTCTCTTGTAGCTTTTAAGATTCTCTCTTTGTCTTAGAGTTTTGCCAGTTTGACTATAACATGACTCAGAGAGAACCTTTTTGGGTTGAATATGTTTGGAGATCATTGTGCCTCCTGATTCTGAAGATCGTGACTTTCCCTATACCTTGGAAGTTTTCTGCTATTATTTTGTTGAATCTGTTTTCAGAGCTATTTCCTTTTTACTCCCCTTCTGGAATACCCATGATTCAGATATTTGAGTGCTTAAGGTTGTCTGTTATCTCTCTTAGATTTTCTTCAATTTTTTAAATTCTTTTTTCTGTTCTGTGTTAATTCAAACAGCCTGTCTTCAAGGTCAGAAATTCTCTCTTCTGCTTGTTCTAGCCTGCTGGTTAGACTCTGTTGTGTTTTTTATTTCGTTGAATGATTCCTTCAGCTCCACAAGTTCTGCTACATTCTTTTTCATGGCATTGATTTCTTTGTACATTTCTTCTTTCAGGGACTGTATATTTTTTTCTCATTTCATTTTGTTGTCTGAGTTTTCTTGTATCTCATTTAGCTTCCTTAGAATTGTTGCTCAAAATTCCTCGTCAGTCATTTTAAGGACTTCCTGTTCTATAGGATCTAGACCTTGAGAGTTATTATTTTCCTTTGTTGGTGGTGTACTTTCTTGATTTTTCTTATTTCTGGTATCTTTCCTTTGGTGTTTAATCATTGTGGCAGGGTTTATCGTGGTCCACTCGTTCTATGTCTGGCCTGGATCCTGAAGGTACTGCCAATGCTGGGCAGTGGAGACTCTCCTGGGCTTGGGGTCCCACGGCACCTGCCTGTTCTGGCACAGCTGTCTCGGGACATGTGGTCCTGGCGGCTCTTGGGCCTCTCTGGGTGTCAGGGACTGGCCTGGTCTGGGGGTCCTGCGGCACCTGTCTGTTCTGGCACAGCTGACTTAGGGCATGTGGGCCTGGCAGCTCTTGGGCCTCTCTTGTGATTGTTCATCTTAACTCCCGAAGTTTTATTTCAGTGTGTAAGTTTATTTGTCTGTTTCTGTTGCTTATAACAAAATACTGGAACTGGGTAGCTTATAAGAAAACAAAATTTATTGTTCATAGGTTGAGAGACTGGGAAGTCCAAAGTTCAGGGAAGACATCTGGTGAGGGTCTTGGTAAGTGACAGTGACCTAGGGGTCTCACCTGGCATAAATGGCAGAGTGGAGAGAGAGACTCTCACATGCTCTCCTTTTAAAACCCTCAGAACCATGCCCCTGACTGCCTTTATTTATCCATTTGCTAGGGCATGGTCCTACAATCTTATCACCTCTTCAAGGTCCCACCTTTCAATTGTAATAGGATTTCCCACCCTCTCAACACTGTCACAGTGGTGGCCAAGTTTCCAATACGTGGAACTTTGAGTGACACAGTTTAAGCATCAGTGAGTTTGGCAGGAACATTCAATCCACAGCAGTAACTTACTGACTATTTTATTTTACCTTTATAAAGAGAGAATCTGTGGAACTTGCATTAAAACTTCTGGATGAAGATGAAATTAGAGGCTACAAATTACATGTTGAGGTGGCAAAGTTTCAACTGAAAGGGGAATATGATGCCTCAAAGAAGAAGAAGAAGTGTAAAGACTATAAGAAGAAGCTGTCTCTGCAACAAAAGCAGTTGGATTGGAGACCTGAGAGGAGAGCAGGGCCATCTCGGATGCGCCATTTGTGTTTTTTTTTTTCCTTGTGAAAAATATAAATATCCTAGAATACATTTTTGGTGATAGCTACTTAGTTTTGTTTCATCAGATATGTCTACAAATTATTTTAAAAGAATTTCCTGAGATCATCAGGAATCTTCAGTATTCTATAAAATGGGATGGTTTGGCAGTGGTAGTGGTTTTCATTTTGTAGGGTGTTTATTCGTCATATAACAGGGGCTTAAATGAGCCAAGAAAAGCCATCTCTTTGGAAAATGTTGAACATCAGATTAAATAAGATAATTAAGGCTTATATTACTAGACCATAAGTTCATTTCCAGTGTAGATTGAAATCAGCTATACCAGGAGCTAAATTTTTATATATAGGTTTGTTAGTAAGAATTAGAAATTAGAAATGATAGATTTCATCATTGTATTTACTGTGTAGTTGTATGTAGTTTATACATAACGTCAAGCATTTACTATTAATCTATTTGCTTAGTACATTTTTTAAAATATGCTAGTTTTAAGAAATTAGCCAAACTGATACTTTAATCATTTCCAACACTATGCTTAAACTAATGATAAAATGATCATAAAGCATTTAGTTGTGATATCCCATAGTTTTTACAACAGTAAATAGAATAAATACCTACACATTTTATAAACTATCAGTAAAATTTGATTGTAATAAAGTGAGTAGTTTTACATATTTAGTGCAGTTTATTCTTTATAATGGTAAAATGCCTAAAAAACAATACAATTTAAAAATATTTTATTGCCTCAAAGTGTATCGTAAAGAGAGTCGTAAATACTAAATAGCAATTTTTCAAGAGTTTCATTGGAGTGTTTGTATAATGAGTCAACAGTTGCTCTAAAAAAATATATTCTGGGGATTTCTGGTACCGGGTCCATTTTTCCCTGCTCCTTTTTTTTATTGTAGAAAGTTCTCTGAATGGAACTGTGACTAAAATACACAGTTGTTTTGGAATCAAATAATTATCATTATTAAATACTCAATAAAGGATTACATTGACAAGTCATTTTTTTTCTCTCTCCAACAAGCTGAAACAAATTGACAGTTTCATGTTACCGCTTTATTGCATTAGGCAGTTGGATTGGAGACCTGAGAGGAGAGCAGGGCCATCTCGGATGCGCCATGAGCGAGTTGTCATCATCAAAAATATGTTTCATCCTATGGATTTTGAGGTAAGAAGTGGTGTTCTTACTGACAGAAATGCTGATATGCTTTCTTTCAAGGGAGCCCAAAGCTTGCCTTGCCCCATCTTTGGCATTTCACATCCTATGTGCTCATGTCATAGATAAGGCAAGAAAATGAAGCCAAGAAACAATTGAAGTTTTTGGATTTCCATTTATTTAGCCCAGTGTCCTTTTAATTGTATCCCAGGTAAGACTGTTTGATACCCATAGTGTGGCCCCAAATAGCAGCTACTTGGTATGGGAAACCATTAAAATAATCATCATTAATTATTTATGGGAACTGCTTGTGGATTTTGAGTGCAGTTCAACAAGTATGGGCTGATTTTGGTGGAGAGTACCAGTTTTACACTTGCAAATCAAAGCTTCACTTTGGTACTAAAAGTTTGATCCTTAAAAAACCTTAGTTTAATGAAATACAGTCCCTGACATGTAAATAGTGGGGGTTGTTTTTCAGGGCGTAATTTTTACACAACTCTTTAGTGGCTATTAATAGAATCTTATAATAATGTCCATGTAAAATTCTAAGAGCAGCAAGTAAAAATGAGTAAAGGAAGAAGAGTTAGCTACCAAAGAGGTTTGAGGAATATTAATTGTCGTCCAGGTACCTTGTATTGCGTCCTCCCTCTATTCTTATCTCTGTCTGCTGGTGTAGACCTATGCGATCCTTAGTGGAAAAACAACTTTTTATTCTCTGCCTGGTTCTGAAATTATTGGTAGCAAGTTACACATGAGAAAAAAATGTTCATAATGTAAAATTGCAGGTTTACAAATGATCTAGTTGCAACCAGTGCCCATTATTGTCCCTTTTGTGTATTTAAACAGTCAAATGGCAATATCATTTTAGACCCCTTCTAGAGGGCCCCAAAATGGACAGTTGAGCTCCATATCAGCAAATAGTGATTTGATAGGGTTTACTGTGCACCTGTGGAATCTGGGCATCTTTTGAGGTCATTGGGAAGATACCTGTAGACGGTTTATAAGGTTGCTTGATGTCTTTTCTGACCAGAAATCTGGAATAATCATGAAATGTAACAGAGCTATTTTGAACTTGCAGTGATAATGCAGTATATTTAAAAAACACACACGTACACACTTGTTGCTTTTTGAAACACTGTCCTTGCCAGGTGGGACTTTAGAAGGAATGCATAGATGGATCACGATATCTAGTCTGCTAGGTACCAACTCCACAGTTATCTACAGTTCATCACATTTTATCCCCCTGGTAAATAAGTGTTTTTTTGATTAGCTGACATATTTGTTTCTGACTTTGGTCCTTTATTCACACAATCTGTATTCAAACATGGATGAAAATGCACTTAATTCAAAGCATCTGGAACCTCTGAAGTAGGTCTGTTGTGTAATTATATCTATTCTTGTTTCTACCACCTGACTTGCTCATTGAGATACCTTATTTCAGTCTATCACCCTGGGCAGACTTAGCTTTTCTAGCTTAACAAATATTCTTTCCCCTAAAAGGCCACATTTCTACGTTGACCTCTACAAATTCCCTCCAGTAAATATTCCTAAATATGGAAGTTTCATGCTTGTAAATTCCTGATTGTTTTTAAAAAATAAGACCCTTTCTGGTTTAGTACAAACCTCACTTTAGTTTCAGAGCCCTTATATTACCATGTTTTGTTTACTTCATGGCATTTATTACTGTCTGAAGTAATTTTATTTCCTCTACTAGAATGTGAGCTCCATGAGAGCCACGACTTTGTTTACCTTGTTTCCTACTATATTCCCAGTGCAAGAATTCTGCCCGGCACACAGTAGGCCCTCAATATTTATATGAAGAAAAATTCAAAGAATGGTTGAAAGAAACCCCTATTACTCACAAGCCAGAGTCTTTTTATTCAGCTGATGGATAAAACATTTTCTCTTTAGCATGTTTGCAAATGAAGGCCAGTTTTCTTTTCAGATGCTTATGCCACAGGGGATGGCAGGACAGTCTGTCCTGGCAGTGATGGGCTTCAGAGTCCATAAGCAAGGAAGTCCGTGGTGGTGCTCTTCTTGTTTATTCACCTGCTTGGTCTTGCATGGGCCGACTAGCTTGATGAGAGCCTGTCAAAAAGAGGGATGACAAATAATTTTGTCTTTTGTTCACTGTCTCTGTGGGCCTGAACCTCCAAGTATTCAGTACAGACCTGTGTTATCCAGTATGGTGGATTCTAGCCATGTGTAGTTATTTAAATTGAAATTAATATGGGCCGAGCCCGTGGCACACTTGGGAGAGTGCAGCGCTGGGAGCGCAGAAGCGCTCCCGCCGCGAGTTCGGATCCTATATAGGGATGACCGGTGCGCTCACAGTGCTCACTGGCTGAGTGTGGTGCGGCCAGTCTCAAAAAGGACAAAAAAAAGAAATTAATAAAATTAAATTAAAAGTTCGGTTTCTCAGTTGTACTAGCCACATGTAGCTAGTAGTTACCATATTGAATAATGCAGATATACAACATTTCCATCATCACAGAAAGTTCTCTTGGACAACACTTGTATAGACATGTGATTCTTGATAGAAGTGTTCAGTAGAAAAATGTGATTTTATTACATGTTTCTGGGGATTATTTGATTTGATTGAAGACTCCAGATGAATGTAAGGAACAGACATCAGCATTGAGCTTTTCGGTGCAAAACAAAAACTGAATTGTCCGGTTACCCCGAGGTATCAGAAAGAAATCAGATTTTGGCTTCTGGTCAAGATGGCGGAAGAGACAGTCCCCAGTGTTACTCTCTCCCACAAATAAACCAATTTACAACTATTGAAAAGTAATGACAGCTAAGTTGGGGCCACTAGAGCTCAGGGGAAGAGGAGGAGAGGCCTACGAATGCATGAAGGTGGGAGAAGCCATGATGAGAGAAAGAAAAATCCACTCCGACCGTTTCATGTCACGGCTGCTTTAATGCTGGAGCTGCTGAGTGCATGGAGCAGGAGCCAGCAAAAGCCGCAACTGCACCCTTACGATGAAGTTGCTTGGAGGTGGCAGGGGAGAAGAGGGCCTTGGTGGACCCCAGGCCAGCAGTACCACAAACAGGGTTCCTGTGGACTGACATAGGAATCACAACAACTGAAAAAAAGGAGCCACTCAGAGGCCAGTGAGTCATTGCAAGGGACTGGAGCACAGCCCATCCCATGGGAAGTGTCTGCAGCATGGGCAGTGGGGGAGACAGGCCCACTGGGGGAATGCTGGGGCACAGCAGAGACAGCTGATCTGCCCCCCAGTCAGTGTGGGACCACTCAGAGGAGACTGGTCAGGAATATAGAATTGCATGGGGTGCAGTTTGATGAAAAGACTCAGGCCTAGACCAGTGTTTCTGTACAACCCAGGTGCATCACATTTCACCAGATATGGAAATTCCTGTAAAGTCAACTATTAAAACCTTAGCTGCACAAAAAGCCTTCCCTAGGGAATCAGCAGCAAAGCAGCAATTTAGCTCAACCACACAGCTCAAGTGTTGGTCCCCACAGGAAGTTCCCCCATTTTAAAAGAAAGTAAAGGACAATAATGGTTACAGTGCAGAATTTAAGGGGTGGGAACAGCACATAATCCAACATAGAACTTACAAAGTACCCATAACCAGAGACAATGTTTGATAACTAGTAAAGGTCTCATTTCACCAGAGAACACCTAGAAGGACTGGAAGTCCCCGGGCTACCAAGGCAGGAAGTGGGGAGGGCTGGGGGCCTCAGCCATGCCCCCTGACACCTGCAATGAGTCCCAAGGATGGGGGCCAAGGATCTCAGCCACACCTGCCAAGTGCAACCACCCCAGCGACGACCACTGAGCTGCTGCAGGAGCGCCTTGGGGTCTCCTGAGCCAGGGCGGCAGAGGGCCAAGGGCCTCGTCCACACCCCACTCCCCGCATGCACAACCAGCCCAGTGATGACACCAAGCCACCACAGGAAAACTCCTGGGCTCTCCCGAGCCGGGGTGGTGGGGGGCTGAGGGCCTTGTCCACACCCCCACCGCATGAACAACCAGCCCAGTGACAACCAGCAAGCCTCAGCAAGAAGGGCCCCGGGTTCCTCAGCTGGGGTGGTGGGGTGTGAGGGCTATTGCCACACCCCCTTGACATCTGCACCCAGCCCAGCAATAACCAAGCCACCACTGGAAGCCCACTAGTCTCCCCTGTGGGAATGTGGGGGGGTGCCACAGACCTCAGTCCCACTCTTCCTTTCTCCTCCTTCCACTCCATTTTCTTCCCCTTTCCCCTCTCTCTCTCCCTCCCAGCTTCTCTACAACAACATCGTAGAATGTAAAAAAAAATATTAATAGAATTTTTAAAAAAGAAATCAAATTTTGGGGGTGGAGTATATTTTTATCCCACACAGTTGACTAGTGTTAGAAGCAGCATGCCTAAAAAATACTCTTTGGTATCAGGATAAACAATGAAGGCTAATATTTTTAAGGTAACTTCAGAGGGTCTTCAGTATTTAATTTAAAGCCTATTTAGAAATGCATTGCCTGGCAAAGTCGAATACCAAGAGGTGAAGAATCAAAACTTAGATACAAGGGTAGGTTTCTTGTATATTCCAGCACTGTCCAACAGAAATATAATGTGAGCCACGTATGTAATTTAAAATTTTCTACAGCCACAATAAAAATACAGCGTGAAATGGGAGATTAATTTTAGTAATGAATTTTATTTAACCGAATGTACCCAAAATGTTATAATTTCAACATGTAATGAATATAAAAATATTAATGATCTGTATACATTTTTACTCACTGGTACTGAATCTTCAAAATCTGGTGTACATTTCATATGGCACATCTCAACTTGAGCTGGCCACATTGCTCGTGCTCAGTAGCCAAATGTGGTTGGTGGCCCCTGTCTTGGAAAGCATACGTTTAGACTGGAAAGGAAAGAGAAACATGGTTTATTTCTTTCAGGGGAAACAAAACACGACTCTGGGGAAAAAAAAAAAATTATGAGTTGACTGCTGAAGATTTCAGTGTCTGAGTATGATTTCAGTCTCACGTCCATTGCTTGCAACATCTTGTCTTTAGAAAATTTCCATGTGTAGGCTGGCTGGTTAGCTCAGTTGGTTAGGGTGCGGTATTGTAACACCAAGGTCAAGGGTTCGTATCCCTGTACCAGCCAGCCACCAAGAAAAAGAAAATTGCCGGGCCAGCCTGTGGCTCACTCGGGAGAGTGCGGTGCTGATAACACCAAGGCCACGGGTTCGGATCCTATATAGGGATGGCCAGTTGCTCACTGGGTGAGCATGGTGCTGACAACACCAAGTCAAGGGTTTAGATCCCCTTACCGGTCATCTTTTTAAAAAAAAAGAAATTAAAAAAAAAAAAAAAAGAAAATTGCCATGTGTAGCTAGCTAGGTCAAAGAGTCTTCCTAAAAGAGGGCATCATTTATCTTTAAGCTTCTGGATACTTTACAGCAGTGAAGATATATTAGTTCTTCAAGCTGGTATAAATGAAAATTTAGGTCTGGGAAAACTTTGGTGAAGATTTGCTATCTTATAGGAAAAGCGTTGAGGCATTGTTGTAGAAATAAAGGTGATTGGCCCCCCTCCCCAGTGAAACTCAGTGAAACAAGATTCCTGCCTTCTGAAAGCACACAGTCTAGAAGGGACTAACCACACACATCACCAGAAGCCATCATGTGACTTTACTGGATAACTTTTATGGTCCGCTCCCCATTCTTCTCAGGTGTGATAATTCTGTATAAAACAAATTGGCTTGTTCTCCAAAGTTAGGTTTTATAAGTAGGGAAATCCACAGTTCTGACAGCTATAGTTTTAGAAGCCTCAGATTTGTGCAAATGAGTAGGATTTTTGTATTTTTTTATTTTAAATCTGATTTCAGTCACTGCCTAGAAGTTTATTTTTGCTATTTGAAGAACTTTAGGGGAGGAAAGCCACTTTTTGGTAGTTCTTTGCAGTTCCTCTTTAGTTGAGAAAAATAACGTGTGAGAAAGATAGATGTATTTAAATATTTTCTAGAAAGTGTAAGTCAACTTCAATAGAAATTCATAGGTAGGACATCTTCATTTATATGTGTATGTAGCTGATAATTCAAGTTGATAATGTCTCTTTTTCTGAGCCATTTCCATACACTAGGACTTAGAGGAAGATTTATTAATTCCCATAGGGAATCTTAAGCCCTTTTGTTGTTGTGGGGAGGAGAGTTCACCTGAATTCAAGACCACTGGAAACAGCAGCACCTGAATATTCTTAATAGACTTGTATATTATTTTGTGCTTAATAACAGCTCTTTATTTGTGTGGTTCTGTTGTAATGTGGCAGGAGACAAGATAAACAGGAATCCTTATAAGGTTTACCCCATGAGTTAAAATAGAATCTTGGAAGCATGAAAATCAATCTTACAACACTTAGTTAAAGGGACATCTCTTTCTCCATTATAACATTTCTGCAAAAAGGAACCTATCCAAAACACAAAGCACAGGGCTCTCATCACTACGATGATAACATCCATACAGAACATAGGACCTAGCAGTCTCTGACTGTGTGCCATATGATTTCTCCTGCCCTCCCTTCCTTCTCCTTTGTCGCTGTAGACCCCTTCTGCTGCCTGTCATACTGGTCCACCTCTGTCTTCAAGCAGGGCAGAACTGCTTTAGCAGTAGCAGCGGCTGTAGTAGTTTAACTTCATTTGATTTTGATTTAAATTTTATAGCCTGCAGACAAACATAACCTTAAACAAAACCTTCTATAATTTGTTGGTTTTTCAGAGCAAAAAATTTGATTCTCAGTATTTATAGATAAAGGGGACAAACCCATTTTAATCAAGTGTATTTTTACAGGATGATCCATTGGTGCTGAATGAGATCAGAGAAGACCTTCGAGTAGAGTGTTCAAAGTTTGGACAAATTAAGAAGCTCCTTCTCTTTGATGTAAGTTCATGGCTTGGACAAATGAATTAAAGCAATCGTTCTACCAGCTTAATAAGTTATTACTAGATGTCAGCATGCCCCCGAATTTTAGATTAATGTTTTTATATGGTAGCTCTGCTATCTGGAAGTAGTCATCTGTTAGCAATCAGATGAACATGGATTGTAAGTCAAGTCTTTGACAGATTTGGTTTGGTATGCCTTGCTTATTTTTCTACATCATTGCTCTAGAGTACATGATCAGGTCAATGGAAGAAAACAAAAATGTATGAGACCTTATGGTTCTCTGTTTTCCCTAATTCCCCCCTCTTTGTGAATTATTCTCCATATTTGGAACAATCAGGAAAAATATTCTCCTGTACCTTTCCCCTTCTCACTCCTTTTTTACTTCCAAAATTGACAAACATTACTTAAAAGAATCACTGTTTATTGATTGTGTATTACAAGCTACTTTACCTGTTATCTTATTTAATCCTCACAACCCTTTGTAGTAGGTAGGTGCCTTTATACCCATTTTACAGCTGAAACTTAGATTGAGCCCCTTGCTCAAGGTCGTTCAGCTGGTAACTGACAGAGCCAGGATTTAACCCCAGGGCAATTGACTTCAGAGTTTACACTCTTAAGAATTTATACTCTTACCTCTCATCAGACAGTGTTGTCAGCAGAAACATTTCCAAGGACATTGTGCTTGGTTCTTGCTGGATAAGATTAAGCTAAAGAAGCAGCTGACTGTCTCTCACTGGCTGGGATAAAAGGGAAGAAAGGCTTTACATATAATCTTTTAGCTCCAAGTATCAGAGAGAACACTACTACTTACTCTGCCAAATATGTGTGTTTTATTTTTAATCTTATCATTCATTCCTTTTTTTCTTCTTTTCTTTATAGAGGCACCCAGATGGTGTGGCCTCTGTGTCCTTTAGGGATCCAGAGGAAGCTGATTATTGTATTCAAACTCTTGATGGAAGGTGGTTTGGTGGCCGTCAGATCACTGCCCAAGCGTGGGATGGGACTACAGATTATCAGGTGGAAGAAACCTCAAGAGAAAGGAAATTCTGCAACTGTCAAGGACACAGATTGTTTCATTACTAACAAATGCTGATCTAGCAGTCCTTCACATTTAAGTTTTGGGTTCAGTTTAATCTGTTTAATGTAACAATACTTCTTTCAAATAATACTTGTATTCAGGGGATAGAAAAAGAAATGTTTCAATCTTTCAGTTGATAAATTTTGAGGCTTGCTCAAAATAGTGATTAGAAAAGGACATGTTAAAACAAAATGTTTCACTTCCTTTCTGTGTTGTAAAGGCTGAGCTCAAATATTAACTTTTTAAGACTCCAAAACTGTGGTGATTGGTATTTATTTAAATGATCTTATTTAAGGTCAACTCTAGTAAATCAAAATGTAAAGTGAAGACAGGGAATTGCTTAGATTTCCTAAGACGTGATTCCTTATAAAATCGGGATACTTTCATCAATATTAGAAATGCTCAGAGTTGTTACTTCTTTTTGCCTAAAACTTATTTTAATGGCAGTTTCCATTTATCCACAGGTGGAAGAGACCTCAAGAGAAAGGGAGGAAAGGCTGAAAGGATGGGAGGCTTTCCTCAACACTCCTGAGGCCAATAAAGGCCTTCAGCGTTCCAATTCCGTCTGTGCTTCAGAAAGGGCAGGGCCTTCTAGAATAAGGCATTTTTCAGAGCACCCTAGCACATCTAAAACGAATGCTCAAGAAGCTGCAACTGGAATGGCATTTGAAGAACCTATAGATGAGAAGAAGTTTGAAAAGACACAAGATGGGGGAGAATTTGAAGAAGATGCTTCTGAAAAAGATGCTAAAGAAAGTGGTCTCCAAAAAGAGGCTGAAGAAGGCTGCCCCCAAAAAGCATCTGAAGAGAGCAGTCCTAAAAAGGTATGCATGCAGAATAATATTTTTTAAAGTATTGAAGTTTGTGATATTCAGAAATAAAAATAAGTTGGTAATATGCAGAAACTGGAAAGTGGACTTGAGTTAAATTGCATTTTAAATTCATGCTGTTGCTTCATTCATACTAAAGGTTGGTTTTTCTAGGGACTTAAAAAATCCCTTAGGAGTCTCCTAGCTTCCAGCTTGTGTTACCAAGTATGTCCCCATTTCCCCTCTCTAAACCAGAGCATGTTCTTAAACTTATAAAGGAAATAGCACTTTGGAGGTTTTCCTTGCCCAATCCTTGCAAGTTAACTTTTGTTTTCTACCCTCTTTCCATTAAAATTTGCTTTTAGATGTGCAAAAGTGAACTTCCCATGGTTCGTAGCTTTCTTATTATTGAAAATATAGAGAAGGAGATTAGAATTCTACTGTGTGCTGTTTCTTAGCCTCTTTGGGCTGCTTTAGAAGTTGATTAAAGTTATGGGACCCCTCCGCAGAAAAATGTACACACACACACACACACACCACACACCCC